CGCATTTAGTGGTCGTGAAAAATTCGACAATTCATTTTCTTTCAAAATTCTTGGTATAGTTTGATAGCCAGCTCCATAAGCTTTAATTTGATACAGGGGTTTAGGTATCTATAGCTTAAACTGCACGTGCTACATCGCTTGCGCGCGAGACACCCCTGAAGGTATACTGTAACCTTAATTGGACCTCATGAATTGAGTTTTTGAACTGAATTTTTGTCTCCTTTAGGACTGGTGACATTGTGCAACACTTTAAAATTTTTAAAGATGGTCAAAAGAGGTACTACTTGTGGAGTGAAAAATTTCGATCTCTGAACCAGTTGGTTGAGCACCACCGGTCCAACTCAGTTAGCAAAACTCAGCACATAGTACTCAATGAAGTGGATTTTACAGTGAGTATCAACGCAAATAAAACCAGAATACCAGAATACAAATACCGGTAACAAATAAATACTGGTTTCATTAATGTTTAATTCATAAAGTACGATTAAACATTTTTTCCTGGTAGACTATAGATTTTGGTAACTTATAAATTCTAATATAATTTAAAATATAAGTAAGAGAGGTTTTCAGTTGAGTGTCATAAAACCAAATCAAATTAATTACTCTGACTTAGCCAATTAAAAAGACACAGACAGTCAATAGGCCATTTCCAAGTTGCCCTTAGCCTCCATGTCAAAACGAGTCATCATGCAAAACCATTGTTATGAAAATGGTTTCATCTGTAATTTCATTTTCATGTAAATCAAACTCATTTTCATAAGAAAAGTTTTGCATGAGGACTTGTTTTGAAACAGAAGCAAAAGACAACTCAGGAATGGCCTATTGAACCAGTCAAAACTTGAAGCATTAATAACTGTAGCTGGCATGAAGGGCAGAAAAACAGGTGGCAGTGAATCACGATTGGTTTTGGTTTCACCTCTGATGGGATGAAAAAGTAGTGTGACTCTCGCTGACTAGAAAATTGCAGTAAGATCTAGCACAGTAAATTATTGTAAGTAGAAGTTTTAAATTGTGAGCAGTTTGAAACTTTCTTCCACACTCCTAATGTGAGAGCTTAACAGTACTGTATTTAAACTTCTTCCTTTTTGTATTAGGATGAGATGGTGCAAGCAGTATATTCTTTCACTGCTCAAGATCACGATGAACTTAGCTTCAATGCTGGTGACTGGATAACAGTGTTAGATAAAAGTAACAAAAATTGGTGGAAGGGACAAGTGCACAATGCTGTTGGAATCTTCCCTTCAAATTATGTGTCCACGGAAACAATCAACAAAACTTAAGCACTCTGTACACTATACTCAACATTTACTGTTCTGGAACAGTTCAGGGTACATATTTTTAAATAGCTTTCTTATCAGGTTGAACATGACAAAAAATTGAACAGCTAGGGAAAGAAAGACTTCTTTGGCACAGTAACTGCATTTATTTTAGTCCTGGGTCAGTCCTCGTGGTTATTTAGGAAATGGTTCTTTTTTTTGAGGATAGTGAAGTTCGTAATAAGGAGAATTCTTAGAAATAATTATTATTAATGATAAGATAATGCAAGCGCTACTGGTACCACGTTTTAACTAGATCCTGATGTAATACAGTTCGGACAGTCATGTTGACATTTTCTAGGCAAGTTACATTCATTTGGTGTTTTGTTTTGGTAATAAACATTTTCCCCTAAAATAATATCACTAAGGCAAGTACTGTTGATTTTCAAACTTACGTGTAATACATTTTCTAATAATTAAGGTTGAAAATAATTGTTGAATTGTTGAATTGTTGAATTGATAAATGTAGCTTTTTTAGTGCAAATTTTGTATATTTGAGTTTTGTAGTCCAAATGATGTGATTTAATATTTTGAATGACTTAATTTGTAGAAAAATCTCCAAACAAAGACAGTTTTTGTGCTGAAGCCGAGAGACCCAGTCCACTGTTGTGCAAAAAAATGACCATTATTTAAAGTGCTTATGAAAGTTTTTTTTATTTGCTCAATGGAATCTACATCTACAATATCCAGTTTTTTTCCCCGATAATCTCCATATCATGATCTCATGTAGATTTGAATCAAGGAAATAAAAAATACCTGTCATATAGCACTTTTATGTGACATTTCCTTGTAAGATGAAATGCCAACCAGCATGACATGATAACAAAACTAATTATATACATGCAAAAATTTCAGCAGGCCTAGGGCACATCATGTTAGATCACATCAGAACTTTATGAGTTGCCAGGGAGCTCTTTGGAACATCTCACGGGATTGGCTTAGAAAATGATGTACAAACAATAGTAACAATGTACCCCGACCTTAAAACAAGAGAGCTTCATGCTAACAAGATCCCGTGAAATTAGAGGTTCTAGAGAGCTTCATGACAACAGAACTTTATCAAACTTGGTTGAATACCAAATTTGTTGGTTGATGTTTAACTTCACTGTTGGCAATAATATAATTTTGAAAATGGGAACAAAGTGGGTGTACAATGTTTGTGCCAAGTAGAATAATTTGCAGTTTTAAATTTGTTTTAGGAAATAGTGTGGTGAAGTCCACCCTAAAATTTTCATTATTTAATTCTTAATCTTTGATGGTTTATTCAATACTTAGATGAAAATCACAAATATTGTGAATAAAATGTTACCCCTTTTTCATTGTGTTTGTAATAAGTGGCACATTAAAGCTAGTAGACTTAGGGCTGTGTTATTTCTTGGCTAGATTTCCTCGACACTTTACCATGCCTCATAGTTAGTGCGCTCGTCTCTGGATCGAGCGGTCCAGGTTTGAGCCCTGGCCGGGGACATTGTGTTGTGTTCTTGGGCAAGACACTTTACTCTCACAGTGCCTCTCTCCACCCAGGTGTATAAATGGGTACRGGCGAACTTAATGCTGGGGGTAACCCTGCGATGGACTAGCATCCCATCCAGGGGGGAGTAGAAATACTCCTAGTCACTTCATGCTACAGAAACCGGGATAAGCTCCGGCCTGATGGGCCACTTGGCTCGCATGCAGACTTTACCTACCTTACCATGCAGTATTGAAAACCAGACGTTGGGTAAACCAATAAGATTGTACTTAACACGGGTTGAAAAAAAAAACAGATGTCACATGAAACAGTAACCCCTTTTTATTGCATGAACCTAACACTTAATAACCAGAAACAAAAACAGGTTGGAATGAGATGCGAACAGAGTCTGAAATATAATTATCATTACTGCAAAGGTTCAGTATGCCAAAAATATCAGAATAAGGATATGCTAACATTGACTGCTTTTGGAGTGATGGCATTATTTAGCTCAAAAACACAAACTGCTCACATGGTACAAAATAGGTCACGATGGGCTGAAAGTTACTCACTAGCAGTCCAAAGCAAAGGAGAGTCAAGCTTGACTGGTGTGAAGCTCTTTGTTCTGAATGTGCCACTGCCTAACTTGTGGCCCAGCCTGGTTGATTTTGTACTATGTGACCAGTTCCAGCAAACAGCCTCTTTTACTAATAGGCCACATTTGCTAGATCAATATTCTAACATGGCTCTGAGGCTTTCGAGGCAAAATTGTAAATTGTTTAGGTTTCTTTTGTCTCTCAATCCCCAAAAGAGACTTGGATACAAGAAGAAAACAACACCAAATGTAGAAGTTTGTCCAGAAAGCTTCGGAGCCATAATAGAATATTGATATATCGAGCATGGCCCATTAGCAAAGTACCAATGCACAATGTTTTCGTTTCCTAAATAAACTGCACGCGATGTAAAGTGTGGTGGAGCTTTACGAGTAGCTGACCTGCAACAATTTGATCTGCTGTTCCCATTACTGGAATAGTTTACCAAGTCTCTGTTGTTTTAATAGTAAGTTCTTTATGTGGCATCATGGAATGATAAGAATAGAATAGCAACAACATTTATCCGAGTGGTATATGATTTTCGTTTCAAGAAGTATTCACAAAATCAATTCCACCAGATACAGTAGGAATAACTGAATTTTTATTACAAATAGAAAATAACTACATTTTTCCTTCAAACAAGAACAAAAAATACCCATCTGTACATAAAAGGTGTAGGACACTTTGAAGTCCACTGATTTTAATTAATAAAGAAAACAATGAAAAGCAAAGTCTCTTACTTGAAAGTCTTTAAGAACTGACAAAAGGGCTTCCCCCATAATGATTTATAGATGGCTGAATTTGAATAATTATGTCAGGATACCTTAGCCTCACACTGATGAGAGGAACCCTTTGTAAGGATTAAAACATAGCATGAGGCCTAGGCTTATTAACATATTTGTATTCAAATTTTGCTCCATCTATGCAATCAGTCAATGCTCTAGAACAAGCAAGTATTGGACAAAAATGTCTTCTCTCATTAAGCTTACTGAATAGTCCTAGAGGTTCGTGTTAGAATATTACAAGTCTAACATCGTGTTAAAAGACTTCTAATGTCCAACATGAACCTCTAGTTTCATATACTGAAAAATACTGTTCCCAATAGTGCCTGTTACGGTTTCTTTTAACTGTGACTCATGTCCCTTGGTAAGTAGTTGGCTCTCACATATGTCTAATTTGAATCCACCCTAATGGAGACAAGAACCTCTATGTAACTAGCACTTTCTCTGCAAAAATTATTTATAGGAGCCACATGATTACGAAATTCTTTTCCACTTATTCAAAATCCTCTGTGGCCCAGAATAGCTATCATTGCAGTTGAGTCTGCAATCAAACATCCTTTTGTTTAAAAAGGCATACAAATTATGAAGAAAAAGGCCCATACAGAACCAGAGTGACCCTCAAGCCTTGTTTATATGAAAAACTGCTGATAACTGCTATTACAGCCATTTATACACCCAAAGCAGCATCGTACTTTGAAATTGTTTTTAGGTACAAACAATATAAATTAATTAATTTTGTAAATAGCTAATGGCTTTGCCTGATTTACCAGCTGGTTCTTTCTTTTTTCGATAAATGACAATAGCACCTTCCAATGTAGTCAGATTGGAATGTATTATCTCATAACTACCTTGTAAGTGTTCCAACAATGCTCTACAGCTTTTTATTGACCAGTGCATCATCTTAATATTATCCTCATTGTGTATTTATATCTAATGACGTCCCGTGTGGAATGATTCCAAGAAGAGCTCCCTAAACCACAATGCAGGGAATCAAGCTTTCCTTTGCAGACACATTTGACTCTACTGCTAAGCACGTCACAAGAACAACTGTTCAACCAAGCTAAACTATAATCAAATTCTCTCAACTAACACTATGAGAGATAATTTAACAGAGACAAGTACCGAGAATTTCGAAGGTTATGTGTACCACAGCTTAAAGGGCTATCAACTAATTTATCTTAAATCTTGATATCTTAACATTGAAATTGCAGCAGTGAGCTGCACACTTTCTCCATTCAATAACACCTCTTTGCATTTTGAATTCATAGGCAAATTCAGAAGGAAAGTTAATCACAGAGTATGTGATCTGAGGTTTATGGTTGAGTTAGGTCCCCAGTAGAGTTATCTGCAGTAGTACATGACTTGGAACTGTAGTACAGGACTTGTCCAGCAAGCTGTAACATATCAAGACTTATGACTTTGGGTCATGAAAGTCACCCCAGCCATGAAAGCATCTTGTGAAGAGGTGAGGTTCTTTTCCTCTGAAGGTTAAGCGCAGCTTTCTTATTGGGCCACTATCGAGCTGCATAAGGTGCTGAATGTAGACCTGAGGACACACAAGAAAGATTTCTTATTTAGTAAAGGGCAGCACATGATTGAGACTAATCAACACTACACTTTGTGCATATGATATCACATCTCATCAGACTGATCAATAGAAATCCAAAGTAAATAATTCACATCCCTCTATAATTTTATTTAAAACATAATTATAAAATATTTTGGCAGTCACAGATAAACATGCTATCTATATATACCAATATCAAGAAATTGGCTAGCAGGCTGTTTTTAAAATTGGGACAAAAACAGATAATACAAAGTATAATTTAAAGTCAATACCTGGGCACTTTTTATGGCCATTTTCCTTTCAACATCACTGGACTGTGGTCCCATCCAAACAAATACCTTGATAGAGGGAAACCAGGACACAAGAATCAAACACAGGTATATTATGTAATTAAATAACTGCAAATGATCAAGACTAACAGCAAAAAAAATCATACCTCATGTCCTGTGTCTAGAATCATTACATCATCACTTGCCAAGTCATCCTATTGAACACAGACGCAAGAGAAAGAAGAAAAAAAAAAACTTTTTTCAAAACCTGCTATACATGCTACATGGAAATAGTGCAGGAATCAACCACACTCTTGAATATTTGCAATTACCATCATGGTGTTTCATTAATGTTTGCAGCAGGAAGGCAGCTGGTTTTCACAGGCGGGGAAAACATTTTGAACTGAACTTCTTTACAAGAAAAACTTTCCTCTAGATGGTCTAACCTGGCAAGCAAAACCGTCCTGACAGCAGGTCAATTTGCCCTGTGCCTGGCCTTTAATGAAACCCCTGAATTACCACCAACCTGATTTGATTCACAAAACCTTACTTTCAGATTTTATTTCTCGTTCCAGTGCAAAAATTACCAGACAATGCTGACAGACATTTTCAAGAGTATATAGATACATGGTTTGCCTCCAAGTTTTTATCTGTATATTATTAAATTGAGTTACTTCCTGTGCTTTGATTGAGGAGTAGAAAGTTTTAAAAACACTGTACAAAAATACTCCTTGAGACCCTGGGACCCTGGTATATTTAAAGTGCACTAGCCAAGCCTTCACAGGGATGTGTTTCCAAACAAACTTCCAGTTTGACCTTTTTCATACATCTCTATCTTTCTGTTAGATAGACATATAAATAGTATTGACACAAAAGATCGTTTTCTCCTTGCTGTTACTTTTCTTAATTAGAAGATTGGCATTTGACTCACCTGACAGAAATCAGAACACTTCTCAGATACAGAAAAGTATCCCTTCTCATTAGAACAGCGGAACAAACGGGCATATTTGATGTATTCTGCAGACTGAATTAATACGGTGAATACACATCCTGATAAACTTTGGGAACACTAGGGAATAATCCTTTTCTGAGAGATACACATATTGGAGAGGTGGAGAAACAACTTCTCACAAAATAACCAAATTTGGCAGATTTCTGAAGCAATCAATTAACTCCTGGCTAAAGAGAGGTAACAGTAAGTTAATTAAGCATCAAAGAGACACTTCTTTTCGCGCACCTAGCTCTTCCTCTGCTTGAAAGATTGTAGTTTTCTGTAGATCTCTGTTGAGCTAAATCATTACAATGATATTTCTTTTCAAATCTCACTGTCTTCGAAGGAAGGTTACTGATTACCCAGTACATAATACAGTGACAATTAGGGCTGCTACAAACTAGGTAACGTGTCTCACTTATCGTATCAATAAAGGGAAAGTCCTTACATATATGGAAGGTGAGGTGGCCTCATAGTTAGTACGCTCATCTCTACATCGAGAGGTCTGGGTTTGAGCCCTGGCTGGGGACATCGCATTGTGTTCTTGGGCAAGATACTTTACTTTCACGGTGCCTCTCTCCACCCAAGTGCATAAATGGGTACTGACAAACTTAATGTTGGGGGTAACCCTGCGATGGACTAGCATCCCATCCAGGGGGGAGTAGAAATACTCCTAGTCACTTCATGCTACAGAAAGCGGGATAAGCCCTGGCCTAATGGGTCACTTTACAGACTTAACCTACCTAAATATAAATTACCTTATCATAGTCTTTCCTTCCTCCTACACCCACCCAGAAGAAGTTTTCTGGTTCATCTCCTTCATTGACAATCTGAACTGTGTAACCACTCTTTGGCCAGAGGACAGAAAATATATCAATTAAAACAACAACAACAACAACAACAAAAATACTTCCTGTATATTTGCATCAAACATTTTCTGCATGTCAACTTACATCCCAAATTTCATTTCCAAGTTCCCTGGCATGATCAGCTTCACTTTCACTGACTTTGCTGTTTGTTTGAAAAAGAAAAGATTAATAAAACTCTTTGTGTATAACTTTAAACCCAAAATAAACAGAAGTAAACAAACAAACAAAGATCAGTGACAGGGTTAAGCTATATACCTGCCAATCCACACATAAATGATGCCATCCTCTGAGTAATTTTCAAATGGAACTTTCAAGATGTAACTGGGAAAATAAAATATCATAATAAAGCAGATCCAGATCACCTGGTACACAACTCTTGATTTATCTATGTTTCAATTGACAAGTTGGTATGTCTAACATCTTCAATTCAACAGCCTGCCACCCAAAACGACAAGCGCTTAACTCTGATTTCTATGCTAAACATAATGCAACTACAGCAGGCCTATATTTTGCTACTCTTACCTGATGACAATTTGATGCACTTTACCAGGACCTAACAACAGTTTCGTAACACCTAGGTAATATAGGCCTCAACAAAACAAAGCACATGTCCAGGGGAGTATAAATATCTTGAGTAAGGACAAAGTTAAAGGGGAGCCAGATACCATGACTCAAATAAAGGACTTGTGTCTAATTTTTTCTTAGTAGCCTGTGACTATTAAGATCTGTTACTCGCTTAAAAGTGTGAACACAAAATGAAAGGCCTGACACTCACCAGAATTCAGAGTTTAAATGTCTTGCATTGGTTTCGATCTGTGGAAAATGTAAATAATTAAAGAATAAAAATAATCTACCTTTCCTTTGAACCACAAGTTTCAACATTTTCAAATTGCTTAAAACAAGAATGTATCAGCCCTCAGCCAATCTGCTGTTAAGAAAGGTATATTTCATGCTTTGTTGCCATAAATACTGTTGGTTGGAGCTGTTTCAATTACATGAAAGACAGGAGAAACCAATTTTATCCCTTTACCAAAATTGACAAACTGGCTAAAATTACCACTTGCAAAACCACATCACAAGGACGAGAATCCACAAGAAAGGTAGTCAAAAGTTACAAATCAAACTGACTCAAACTTTGACTCCATGAGGGAAAGGCTTTTGCAATTATACCAACCGTGGGGCAAATAACTGACAACTGAAGGCTGACAAATCTGATGAATCGAAAAGTTACTGGAAATCCCCAAAAATTATTTAATTTGAGAATCACACCAAACTAGGACTGATGCTTTTATACAACAAAAGCAGGTACACAAGTCATGATATCACAGGATCTGATTGCTTAGATTAATAATTGAAGACTTACAAAGAAATGTTCAATTATAAAAAAAGGTCTAAGCCATCCATATTGTTGCTGCAAATAGCGGAAAACATGAATTAAGATTAATTCTTACCTGGATAACTCTCTTGGCCAGTATGCCACCACTGGACCGAATGTGGTAGAACTTCGCTTTTTTCTTTTCTTCAGTATTAACTGGCTCCTTCCGCTTTCCCTGATGGAAAATGAAATGAAATCTGTCCATGTAAGTGTTCCTTTAGAACTTCTGCAAGCTGGGAAGGTGACTAGAGGAAGACCAGATGCCCATAAAGTACAGAAAAATCCCATTTCTCCTTGACTTCATTACCTTGTGAATGATGAACTTTCCTTTAAAATGAGCTAGAAACCTTGGAGCCTCTTGTTGCTGAAACAGAATCAATCAATCAATCAATCAATCAATCAATCAATCAATCAATCAATCAATCAATCAATCAGTCAGTCAGTCAGTCAGTCAAGTATTGGACAAACAGTCAGACATTGATTCAGGGATTGAACTGGTTTGGCAAACAAATTTGTAAAATATGTCACAACATAAAATCTCAGTTTTGACTGTCATTCATGAACACTGCAGAAAAATGCATCTGACTTGTAAACGGTATTTTTTTTTTTACACAAAATGCACCATACCTGCTGAGTCTTCATAACTTCTAATTTCTCACCAAACAACATCTCAAATTTCTTCTGAAGACTGAAAAATCCACAAAATACACACTGTCAGCAAACAGCAAATCTTGCAGTTCACTATTTTCAAGCTAGGAGTCAAAACAAAACATTAACTACTGGTTTTGTAATTATGGACTAGGTGGCAAGTAGGTGTCTGACACTGGATCATTCATTAACCGCGTGGCCATGGGCCGAGCGCGGTTCATGGTTTATCCGTGGTTTTTTTTTTTTCGCAGTTTTGTCTGCGACCAGACCCACGCTTCCACTCGGCCAAATTTTTAGTCACGCAACCTGTGATGTTTACTCGCCAAA